AAATGGTGCCCCATAGACGCTTCTCTTCAGCACTCTGACATCACGTACAATTCAGGACAAGCAGTCCTGGATTGTTAAAGAAACAAAAAAAGTTCATTGCTAAAAGGTAAAACCACAATTATATAACAACGATCCATACTTAATAAACAAATCCTAAAGAAGAATTAGTGCAAGACTAGATATACACAAATAAATTACATCCATGAACAATAATCAGTGAAGAGTGAGAACAGCACATACTCATAACCAAGTGTGGACAATTGTGATGTGCTAAAAAAAAACTGCATTCAATTATAAACATAAAGAGTTCCAAGAGTCCAGATGTTAACTCTCATTTTTCCAGTGCAGGGATCCTGGGTATTCAGAACACTTGTGAACACAATTGTGATCAACACTGCCAACACTTATTGCTTAGCGGATCACTATGCCCCCAAAATATGAAAGGTCATACATGCTTATGGGATCTCTTCCAAGTAATCAAGATAGACTGCAGGTTGTCTCTATAAATGAAAGGCAGCCTTACAAACAACAAGAGCAAAAAAAAAAAAAAAAAAGCAAAACCTCATAGTGCAGTAATATTTAATATTTCCTGTTTATTAAAAATAAAAAATGAACACTTAACATTTTATAAATGGTACCATTAAGCATAAAACAAAGTACAGCCAAGTTCAGGTCTTCTGGTCACAGCCGATGCACGTGGTGGCGTCGCACACCATGTTCAAACTCTGCCCTATGCATTTAATCACATGATGATTTCATCAGGGGCATGGCTAAGTGTACTTCATCGCGCAAGGTATAAATATCAGTCACCTGGCAAAATACTTTCACTGATAGCTGACCTCAATAGACAGCGCCTCAGATTAGAAAACTGGGGTTGTGTACAAAAAGCAGAATGACTGATCGCCATTTCAAAAAATATACATAAAAACCTGCTCAAAAAGGCAAAATGGACAATTAAAAATGTATGATCACAATACTGTGAAATGTGGTTTTATATGCAAAAAAAAAAAAAGACTTGCTACAGTGAAAGGGGATGGTTTTTATATATAGATAATATAAATATAGCTTACTAGCAGAAATATAACATGTAGAAAGATCTATTAAAAATAAATAATATCCTAAATAAAGTAAAATCTGGAATCCCTGATCTATCAAACGGGGACATTTTTATGAACTATTACTAATGAAGCAATTCACATCCCATATAATGTTTAGTTTGAATGGGGTGAGTATCTTCAAATTGTAAATCCAGCGAGTCTACAGCTTGGATATTTCCTGTCTAATATGGCTTCTCCTCCAGTGCAGGGTAAATTTGTCAGTGCCCTTGAAAATAGTACCTTCTAGGTTTTTACATGATGTCAATCATGTACAGCATAATGTTTTGACACACTGTGTTTTGAAAAGCCTCGTCTAATGTTCCAATACACGATATTGCTGAAAGTATTGGGACACCCTTCCAAATCATTGGATTCAGGTGCTCCAATCACCTCCATGGCTACAGGTGTATAAAATCAAACACCTAGGCATGCAGACTTCTTCTACAAACATTTGTGAAAGAATGGGTCGCTCTCAGGAGCTCAGTGAATTCAAGCGTGGTACTGTGATAGGTTGCCACCTGTGCAAGTCCATTCGTGAAATTTCCTTGCTACTAAATATTCCACAGTCACCTGTTAGTGGTATTATAACAAAGTGGAAGAAACTGGGAACAACAGCAACTCAGCCACAATGTGGTAGGCCACGTAAAATGACAGAGCGCGGTCAGCACATGCTGGAGCGTATAGTGTGCAGAAGTCGCCAACTGTCTGCAGAGTCAATAGCTAAAGACCTCCAAACTTCATGTGGCCTTCAGATTAGCACAACAACCGTGTGTAGAGAGCTTCATGGAATGGATTTCCATGGCCGAGCTGCTGCATCCAAGCCTTACATCACCAAGTGCAATGCAAAACATCCAATGCAGTGGTGTAAAGCACACCGCCACTGGACTCTAGAGCAGTGGAGATGTGTTCTCTGAAGTGACGAATCACGCTTCTCTGTCTGGCAATCCGATGGACATGTCTGGGTTTGGCAGTTGCTAGGAGAACGGTACTTGCCTGACTGCATTGTGCCAAGTGTAAAGTTTGGTGGAGTGGGGATTATGGCATAGGGTTGTTTTTCAGGGGTTGGGCTTGGCCGCTTAGTTCCAGTGAAGGGAACTCTTAAGGTGTCAGCATACCAAGACATTTTGGACAATTTCATGCTCCCAACTTTGTGGGAACAGTTTTTGGATGGCCCCTTCTTGTACCGACATGACTGCACACCAGTGCACAAAGCAAGGTCCATAAAGACATGGATGAGCGAGTTTGGAGTGGAGAAACTTGACTGGCCTGTACAGAGTCCTGACCTCAACCCCATAGAACACCTTTTGGATGAATTGGAGCGAATACTGCAAGCCAAGCCTTCTCGTCGGTGCCTGACCTGAAAAATGCACTTCTGGAAGAATGGTCAAACATTCCCATAGACACCCTCCTAAACCTTTGTGGACAGACTCCCCAGAAGAGTTTAAGTTGTTATAGCTGCAAAGGGCGGGCCAACTCAGTATTGAATCCTACGGACTAAGACTGAAATGCCATTAAAGTTCATGTGCTTGTAAAGGCAGGCTGACCAATACTTTTTGCAATATAGTGTACTGTATGTTCATTAAGCTTTACTTGTAGTGCACCCCACATACTATAGACCACATGGGTATTGAAGCGTGTAAACAACATTCTTGGATAAAAATGTTATAAACAAATCAATGTCATATACTCTAGAAGTAGTGACTGGAAACTTGTTAGTTTTCTTCCCTTAAACGTATTAAGCCGACAAAACTACACGTGTAGCATAGATCAAATTCCTTTACAGTCTGGAAAAAGGTGGTTTGAATAGGATGATCTATAACCTTAGGGGCTATCTTGTGTCTCAGTGAAGGTACACCCAAAAAAATAATAGAGGGTGTTCTGGCCAAAGAAGATCTATTATGTTATCATTCTTCAATATTTGCCAGTGTTTTTTTTTTAACCACTTCCCAACCACCTTATAGCAGAAATACTGCTACAGGGCGGCACGGGTGCGCAAAATCACGTGTGTATATATACAGTATTTTGCATTTCCGGGTAGGGGACGCGTGCACACTCTACCCATGCCGCCATCCGCGGCTGTCAATCACCAGGTCCTGGCTGGTGATTGCCCAGAATCTACGACAGGGAGGAGAACTGTTTGTAAACAAAACAGTTCTCCTCCCTGTCGGCTATCGCACACTGCTTTGGATGGCTGTGCACACGGACACAGGACATATTGAAACAGCACACAGTTAACCCTTTGATTTTCCCCCCATGTTAACCCCTTCTTGCCCAGTGCCATTAGTATTGTGTCTTTTTTTTGCACAGGCAATCAAATACCACCGAGAGAAAGCTCAATTTGTGGGAAAAACAGGATGTCTATTTCATTTGGGTGCAGAGTTGCATGACTGCACAATTGTCAGTGAAAGTAACACATCGCTGTAATGCAAAAAATGGTCTGGTCAGGAAGGGGGATAAATCCTCAGGAGGGCAAGTGGTTAAAGATTTTTTAACCTGGTAGTGTTGGGTAGAGCAGGTGGTTAACATGGACCAGGTAAACATATCAGTACTGTGCTCATTCGATCCACCCCTCTTGCTAGTTAATAACTTTTACCTGTTGCTTAGACTGACCCGGGGCGGACTGACCATTTGGAAACTCGGGCACTGCCCGAGGCCCCGGGGTCAGTAGGGGGCCCCATGAGATGCCCCTGGCACCTTTTTTCATAGGCTTTATTGAGTTTGGACAAGGACACGGGCCCCATGATCCTCTATTGCCCGGGGACCCCATGAGTTGTCAGTCCGCCCCTGGACTGACCTCCTGATTTATTTGATCAAGTTCATTAAGTTGATAACATTTTTCCAGAAATCTTGATTTCAAATCCTGAGCTTGTGGGAAAAAAATCCTCTGAAAAGGTGCAATTGTGTCTCAGTCTTTGGAACTGGCTCTTAGGTACAGACTTTAGCCATAATGGCCCCTATACAATGAAATTAAGCCATTCATGTCAGATTCTTTAATGTAAATGTTAGTGAGGATAAAGCTGTCCTCAATCACAAATCTTATATTGAGAAAATGTACCTAATGTTGGCTCATCTCATGTTGTAAGATGATACCCGTATCGTTGTTCAGTTCCTGGATAGAAAGGGGCTTCCCCTTTCCATAGGAGGAGGATGTTACAGTCCTGGATTGTAAATGCGGATACCAAGGGTCCTTCCAGGGCATTGGACAGAAGAGGAGAGCACCAGTCGGTGCAGGTGGGCATAAGCAAAGTAAAACTGCTTTTTACTGGTGCCCTAGACAAAAATGAGCATTTAACCCCTTGCAGCCTCACTGCAAGGGTAAAAGTTTTTTTTATTTTTTTTTTTAACCACTTGCCTACCAGGCACTTGTACCCCCTTCCTTACCAGGCCAATTTTCAGCTTTCAGCGCTGCCGCACTTTGATTGACAATTGCGCGGTCATGCAACATTGTACCCATATGAAATTTTGATCATTTTTTTCTCACAAATAGAGCTTTCTTTTGGTGGTATTTAATTGCCACTGGGCGCTTTACTTTTTGCGCTATAAATAAAAAAAAATGCAAAAAATTTGAAAAAAAAAAATAATTTTTCTTTGTTTCTATTATAAAATTTTTCAAACAGGTATTTTTTCTCCTTCATTGATGTGCGTTGATGAGGCAGCACTGATGGGCACTGATAGGCAGCACTAAAGGGCACTGATAGGCAGTACTAATGAGGTGGCACGGATAGGCGGCACTGATAGGCAGCACTAATGAGGTGTCACGGATAGGCGGCACTGATAGACAGCACTAATGAGGTGTCACGGATAGGCGGCACTAATATGCAGCACTGATAGGCGGCACTGATAGGTGACACGGATGATGGGTACTGATAGACGGCACTGACTGGCATCACTGCTGGGCACTGACTGGCACAACCCCTGGGCACTGACTGGTGCACTGACTGGCAGCACTGCTGGGCTGCACTGGTGGGTGGCACTGGTGGGCAGCACTGGTGGGTGGGCACAGGTGGGTGGCACTTCTGGCACAGGTGGGTGGCACTTCTGGGCACAGGTAGGTGGCACTTCTGGGCACAGGTGGGTGGCACTTCTGGGCACAGGTGGGTGGCACTTCTGGGCACAGGTGGGTGGCACTTCTGGGCACAGGTGGGTGGCACTGCTGGGCACAGGTGGGTGATCTGCTGGGCACAGGTGGGCGGAGCTAGTGGGCGCACTGCTGGACACAGGTGGGCGGAACTTGCGGGTGGCACTGCTGGGCACCGATCATCAGGGCACTGATCATCAGTGTCCTGATGATCGGTGCCGATCCCCGCTGTGACAACTGCCGGTTCTCGCCAGTACTTTCCTCACGATCTGACAGCGTGAGGAAAGTGCAGCCGAGAACCGGCACTTGCATTTCCTTGTGATCAGCGTGTCATTGGACACTGCTGATCACGTGGTAAAAGGCCGCTGGGATCGGCCTTTTACCACATCACGTGATCAGCTGTGTCCGTAGGACACAGCGATCACGGAGATCGCCGGGTGCGCGCCCCCTGGGGCGCGCAGGAGAGCGCGTTCTGGGCGGATGTCATATGACGTCCACCCAGAACTGGCCGGCCGCAGTGAAGCCGTCATTCGGCTATCTGCGGTCGGCAACTAGTTAACAAAGCCCATCCCCCTCCTGCCTAGTATGGCCTCACACTTGCCTCAGGTGCTGTGCAGACCTGCTCTTTGTTGCGATTATACAATTAGGTAAGTGTTGTCTAGTGCTGACTGCTTCTGCTGTGTTGCAGAAGATGGGTGCACTTAAAGCGGAGCTCCACCCAAAAGGGGAAGTTCCGCTTTAAGCCTTTGTCCCCCGCTTCCTATTAAGGATTGGCACCTTTGGGGAGCGGGTAGCCGAATTTGACAGGTACCCGCTCCCACTTCCGCTGCGATCGCCTAGGCGATCGGAAGCAGAAATTGTCCTCTCCCCTACCTCCCCGTAGTCTTCTGGGACACGTGACAGGTCCCAGAAGACTACGGGGCCATTCACATAGCACAGCATTACTCGCGCATGCACAGTGGGCACCCGGCAGTGAAGCCGCAAGCTGTCACAGCTGGGTGCCCACACTGGAGATGCCAGCACCAGGGTGAAACCAGACGTGGTGAGGACACCAAGGGACAGGTTAGTGGCTGTATTTTAAAAGTCAGCAGCTACAGTTTTTGTAGCTGCTGACTTTTATTTTATTTTTTTCAGGTGGAACTTTAAGCACACAGTATGCATCAGCATGACCTGGAAGAGTGAAAAGTAATAAATAAACTTTGAAAACATTTGGGGAGATTGCATATTTTTCTTCCGCAGTTGTATGCAGACAGCATGTTAAACAAAATTGGTCCAGTGTGACTAAAAGAGTTGTGACTAATGTTGTTTCTGCACTTTTATTGGCTATACAGGACAGATCGAGGTTTATAAAAGACACTTTGAGGATGCGTTCAACAAGGTAAAGCCATCCGTCTCCAAGAAGGTATGTCTCACATCTGTCATTTGTTTGTTGCTTATAAATGAATTTATGAAGGAACAAAATCTGAAGAAACTGTTGTAGTGAATCAAATTTATAATTGCTCAGGCTATTCAGCTGGAAATAAAATGGAATATCCTGGTTGTGTGACCTTTATTTACTGGAGGGTGAAAGTACACTGTGTTAATATGTAAAACCACAAGAGACTGGCTCAGCAAGAAATGGAAACCTCAGAAGTTCTTTAACCATATCATTCCTCTTGGAACCGGCAGCATAGCTCATTTGTGATAGAAGTATTGTTATTCAGGTTTCACCCTATATGTGTATGATCAGCTTAAAGTGGTTGTGGCTGTGCACACCTACAGCCATTCTTCCCTCTCTCCACTCTCACAGGCGTGGCTGAGAGCAGCAGGAGCCAATGGGTCCTGCTGCTGTCAGTCAACACCTATGAGCAGGGGGGGCAGGGCCAAGCTGGGCTGTGTGTCCTAATAGATGCAAACAGCCCAACGCGGGTTCGAGCAAGCATGAGTGCCCCCATAGGAAACGGCTTCCTATGGTGGGCACTCAAGGAGGGGGAAGGAGCCAGGAGTGCTGGCAGGAGACCCAAGAAGAGGATCTGGGCCACTCTGTTGAAAACCATTGCACAAGGGAGGGATGTATGACATGTTTAATTTGCAAAAAAAAAAATGTCAAGTTTTACAATCACTTTAAGTGTAACTGTTTTATGGTTATCTCTTTTTGCAAACCTGCCCCAGCAGATGAGTCCTAGGCTCAGCAGGAGACTAGGCAGAGACTGCTGTGCTGTGTCTGAGAGCAGTGGTCTCTCCACAATGGTACAACAGGTCCTCTGTAAGGCTGATTTTCACACTGAGAAATTTTTGAAGTGTTTTTGCGTGAAAAAAAAAAAAAGTACCTAAAAAGCTAAAAAAAAATTCCCTATATATGTGACTATATATCTATGTATATTTTCACACTGAGGCGTTGCGCTTGCGGTGTAAAAACTTCTGCTTGCAGCATCTTTGGGGCATTTATTTACTTATTTCAGGTACTTGTATTGCGCCGTCAATTTACGCAGCGCTTTACATATATATTGTAGATTCATAGCAGTCCCTAACCCTCAAGGGGTGTACAATCTAAGGTCCCTAACTTACATTCATACATACACATACTAGGGCCAATTTAGACAGGATCCAATTAACCTACCAGCATGTCTTTGGAGTGTGGGAGGAACCCGGAGAACCCGGAGAAAACCCACGCAGGCACAGGGAGAACATGCAAACTCCAGGCAGGTGGTGCCATGGCTGGGATTCGAACCAACGACCCTAGTACTGCCAGGCGGAAGTGCTAACCATTTAGCCACTGTACTGCCCCATGCTTGGTGAGTTAAAAAAAAGCCTCAAAAACGCCTCTTCCCATTAAAATCAATGAAAATCACCTGAAAAGCGCCTCAGAAACGCTTCTGAGAAGTGGTTTTGGTGCAGTTTTTAAGTCGTGTTATTTAAAAACGCTCAGCGCGGTAAAAACGCCTATGCGTTTTTGCGGCGGATCAGTGTGAAAGTAGCCTAAGTCAGACCTATAGCAGTACAGCCATCAGCAGGGAGCAACAAGCGTTGTCCGTTGCACTGCAAGTCAGACTGCTGTAGGGAACACCACGGCCTTCACACAATAGGACTGCTCGACTGGAGCTGGGGGTAGGTACACATTGCACAGATTTTTTTTTTTTTCCGCTTCAATTCACTGCCGCAGCATTGTGAATTAGTGATTTGTGTTACAACACTCACTGAAATTACTACCGCATGCTGTGTTTTTTTTTTTTTTTCCTTCAGTGCGCACCAACACAACACAGTGATGTGAACTGACTTGATCGAACACAAGGAAAATTGCCTTGTCTTTGCTCTGGAAATGTGCTGGGCAAAGTTACAAATATTGTGAATAGGCCCTAATACAAGAGCTTACTATTTTGAATCACTGATTAGTTTGGTTTGTGTGTTCCTTTTGCCTTTCTTTTGCTCCCACTAGTTGACAATGTAAACTCCTCAAAGATTTAGGCCACTGATAAGGGCAGCCACCTGCCTGTGGTTTCTAGGAGTACAAAAGACGTGACTGTGAGCAGGTCCTATCTAAGTAAGGTTTCTTCCGCCAGGATTAAGTTGCGTTTTGGGAACTAAATGTAACCTGTACCTGGTAAATAAACAGTCTCATGAAAGGGTCTGTCTCCTTGGTTCCTGGCGGAATAGCAGAAGGCGTGACGGAATCACGAGCAGGTTCTTTCAAAGTAATCTTTCTTCTGGGCAGCATTTGGCAACTTACAAAAATGTTTTGTAACTAAATTGTCATCAGCAGCTGGTGGAGGAAAAGTGCCATTGAAAGGAGCTTTGTAGTGCCATCAATGTTTCTTTACTTAGATGTTGGGGCAGTATCCCTTCTCAGATTCCACAGTCCAGTGAACATCTTTGTTCCAGGGAATTTAGGGTTTGGCAACTGCCGTGTGTTCCATAGAAACCATGAAAACAGTGAAATAACACATCTCTTCCTCTGCAGGATCAAGTGATGTATGAGCACCTCCGTCTGTCTCTGAGCTGCTGACAGCCGACCCTGGAGAGAGGATGGAGGGAATTGTTTGGGAACACCACTCAGCAACACAGTACCAAGTGTCTTGTGATCCAGCATGGCATGTGTGAGCCTGACAGTCCATATTCTTCAGCTGAATCCTCAGTATAGACTCTTATGTGGTGTGTATATAGAATTGGAGATCTCTTCCCTCTACACCTCCCAGCTGTAAATAAACAAGACCTGTATTTTTTACACTATACGCCTTCTTGTTTTATTTGTTTTTCTAACTGGTTACACCACCTTGGCCTGTAGCAAATACTTACATGTTACACGTGTGTATTTGCAGGGTGGACAAAATAATAAAGCGATAGCTATGTTTTTATCCATAGACTGATCGGGGCCCTAGGCATAGTAGCTGGTATGCTTCCCCACTCACCATTCATTTGATTGATCTTGATAAGGATTGTAAAAGGTGCAGAGAAGATGCTCTATTTGCATTGTCATAGTCCCCTTGGACTCAACGTCCCACCAGTTCTATCTTCCTTGTGAAGTGGGCAGCACAGTGGCTAAATTGTTAGCACTTCCGCCTGGCAGTACTAGGGTCGCTGGTTCAAATCCCAACCACGGCACCACCTGCCTGGAGTTTTCATGTTCTCCCTGTGACTGCGTGGGTTTCCTCCGGGTACTCCGGTTTCCTCCCACACTCCAAAGACTTGCTGGTAGGTGAATTGGATTCTGTCTAAATTGACCCTAGTATGTGTATGTATGAATGTGAGTTAGGGACCTTAGATTGTACACCCCTTGAGGGTTAGGGACTGATGTGAATGTACAATATATATCTAAAGTGCTACATAAATTGAAGGCGCTATATAAGTACCTGTAATAAATAAAGTGTCAGGCAGGTACACAGCTTTGATCAATTATGTTATCCCCATGGTTAACGGCAGGAGCAAGAAGGTTGTAGCTGTGCCTCCTGGACATTCCCTCGGCCTCAGGCGTCTGCATAGTTTGCCTTGTGGGGTGATCCGAATCTTCTCTGTACATGTTTTATACCAGCTGCTAACAGCCTTTGGTTCACTCGAACACTACTTCATTAAAGTCTGCCAGAAGCTAGTTATTAAAGAAAAATAAAACCAAGAACAAACCATTAAAGCGGAACAATGCTCCCCTCTACTCTAGCATTGCAAAGTCCCGGAGCTCCTTCACTGGCTGCTGACATCTTT